AATACATCAAAGTTAAGTAAATGATGGAACTCGACGGATGCCATAAATCAGTTCAGTTTCGGATCACGTTCGGCATTTGGAAGGAACGCAGAAATTTAGCTTATCCAGTTGCTTCGCACAGTGCCCATCAATTTGACATTTACTTTTCCAATACTAATCCTTGTTCGGATAATTGAAATGAACCGTGCAATTTGATGTCGATCCTCGCATTGGAATTGAAAATAACAATTTGTTCACTGGACGTCAACTATATGATGTAGCTCGTCGAGTTCTGTTCTATGGTGCATTTTGGATCGCAACTTCAGTGGGGATGAAGCATTTCAGGCGGTTCCGTCAAGTGTATTGAACGATGCATTTGGTCGAGAAAATCATATTTTCCGTTCAACGTAACGGAAACAAACGACCAAGAAGTAGAGAATAAAACTCGACGATTGTTGCAAATCAGTTTAGTTTAAGTTCACGTTAGGCATTTAGAAGTAACGCAAAATTGTAGCTCGTCGAGTTGATTCGAACAGTGCCCATCAATTTGACATTTCATTTACATATCCCAATTATTGTTCGGATCACTCGAATGAACCGCTTGGTGCATTTTTGTGTGCGGCCTCAAGCAGTGAGTGTGATGTGTCATCAGGTCAGATTCAAGTCAAAAATGAACCAAGAATTATATTTGAATCATTTAGGTGAACTCATGCACGCGGATTTGGGAAATCGCAATTTCGGTTCAGAAGACAAGAAGGCACAGAGAAGTGAAGTAGATGGTGCTGCGCGATCAGGTTCATCACGCAATGCAATTTCATGTCAATGCTGGCATTGCAATTGAGAAAAAACAATTTGTTCACTCAGAGTCAACCATGTGATGTAGCTCGTCGATTTCTGTCCTATGGTGCATTTCTGATCAAAACGTCAGTACGTATCAAGCATTACTGGCGTCTCAGTCAAGTGTATTGTACCAAGTATATGGATACAGAAAATCATATTTCCGGTCCCACGGATGCCCAAAAACACGAGAGTAATTTTAATGATGAATTTGACGATTGTTATAAATCAGTTCAGTTTCAGGTCACGTTCGACAATTGGGTGGAACGCTAAATTGTAGCTCGTCGATTCCATTCGCACAGTGCCCATCAATTAAACATCACCTTTTCCTATCCTAACTACTGTTTTATTTGTTAAAATGAACCGTCTGAAGTAAATTTGTATGCGGCCTCAAGCAATGCATCTGATGTGTGGTCAGGTCAGATTCAGGTCAGAAGATCAACCAAGAAAAATATTTGCATCATCGTGATGATGTGCAGCACGTCGATCTCGGAAATTGCATTCCTGGTTCAGAAGACAATAATGATCCGAGAATTGAAGCAAATGCTGCTGCACGACCAGTATCATCACGCGGTGCAATTTTATGTCGACTCGCTCTTTGCCATAGAATAGAACAATTTGTTCACCCAAGATCAAGCATGTGACGTAGCTCGTACAGTTCTGCCTTATGGTGCATTTCTGATCGAAACATCAGCAGCGATGAGGCATTTCAGGCGGCTCCGTCAAGTCTATTGTACAATGCATTTGGATAAAGAAGATCAAAGTTTCCATCCAAGGGATACGAAAAACCGCAAAGTGAAGTAGATGTTCGAACTCGACGATCGATATCAACTACTTCAGTTTCAAGTCACGTTCGGCATTTGGTAAAAACGCAAAATTGTAGCTCGTCTACTTTAATCGCGCCGTGCCCATCGATTTGCAATTTCTTTTTGCCTTAAGAAACAAAGTTCGGCTTACTTAAGTGAACCGTCTATAGTAATTTTGTGTGCGACCTCAAGCACTGCATCTCATTTGTGATCAGGTCAGATTCCGGTCAAAATATCGACCAAGAAAAATACTTGAATCATCTGGATCAAGTGTATCACACCGATCTCCAAAATTGCA